CTCAGGCAGAAGAGCCCTCAGGCTGCCCAGAATCTGGGTTTACTCTGGGAGCTGCCACAGGCCAGGGTCTTGTTTGAGATTCTTGGAATATTCACCCTGGTTGGGACATCTGCAAAGCAGAGTGCAGCACCCAGGGGTGGAATGGATCCACCAGGGGGTTCAGATCCTTCAGGGAAGCTCCACTGGGAAGAAAGGTCCCAGCCAGGACATCAGCCACCCCCAGGAGCCCTTAGTGATGAAGGGAAGAGCTCCTGGGAAAAGCACTGACCACAGAAACATCTGACCAGGAAAACGGGCAGTTGGAACAGGACAGGGCTCAAAGGGGCTGTGAGGAGGGGTCTGCAGGACAAGGAGAAGGGGCTGGAGAACTTGTGAGGAGCAGCTGAGGGAGCTGGGGGTGCTGATCCTGGAGCAAAGGAGGCTGAGGGGAGACCTGCTGGCTCTGCAGCTGCTGAGAGGAGGTTGGAGCCAGGGGGGTCAGGCTCTGCTCCCCAGGAACAAGCCCTGGGCCAAGAGGGAACGGCCTCAAGTTGTGCCAGGGGAGGTTGAGGTTGGATCTGGGGAACAATTCCTGCCTGGCAAGGGTTGGCAGGGCCTGGCCCAGGCTGCCCAGGGCAGGGGGGGAGTCCCCATCCCTGGGGGGGTTTCCAAGCCCTGGGGATGGTGCTGAGGGACACGGGGCAGTGGGGAATGGGTGGGCTGGAGCATCTCAAATTCCTTTTCCAACCAAAACCATTCCCTGATTTGATGAAAATACTCGGACCATGAGCAAACAAGGTCCTGAGCATCTGATCTGACTTTGCAGCTGCCTTTGCTTTGAGCAGGCACCTCCAGAGATCCTTTCCAGCATCTCTTTTTCTGTGTCCACCATCTGAGTTGATGTGGTTTCTGAGGGAGTCCTCACCTCCAAGGCCTGGAGCTGCTCTGGCACCTCATCCTGGGCTCTCCATGTTCTTTCTGGTGCTCTGAGGAATCGAGGCTACTGGGGAGTCCTCTCCCCATTCCACCTGTCCTGGCAGGTTGGGTTGTCCCAACCCCTGCCCTGGTTGTGTCCTTGGGTGATCTTACTGAGCTCCAGGAGAAAAGAGGAACAGAGAGTCTTGAAATAACTCTGGAAGTTGGTTGAGATGTGGAAGCTGCAGTGGTGATGCCTGGCCTGGCTGCAGAGTAGAGGTCTTCTCCAGCCTTGATGGTTCTGTGGCTGTGAACTGGAAGGGGGAGGTTTAGGTTTGACGTTGGGAGGAAATTCTGGGCTGTGAGGGTGGGGAGCCCCTGGCCCAGGCTGCCCAGGGAAGCTGTGGCTGCCCCATCCCTGGGGGTGTTGAAGGGCAGGTTGGATGGGGCTTGGAGCAGCCTGGGCTGCTGGGAGGTGTCCCTGCCCATGCAGGGGGGCACTGGGTGGGCTTTGAGGTCCCTCCAACCCAAACCAGTCTGTGACTGGGTGATTAGATGTTGGTGGCAGTTTCAGCTCCCACTGCCCAGCCGAGGTCTCTGAACTCAAACCCACGAAGATCCACATGGTGGCATCTTAGTAAGCTTTGGGTTTTTCTGTCCTTCAGGCCAAAGAGGCTCCCAGGAAGAAGAAAACCTTGGAGGATGATTCGTCGCTGAAGGAGAACGAGGCTCTGCTCGCTCAGAATGAGTATGAAGAAGACAGCTCAGATGAGGAGGTAGGACCTGTTGGAACTTCTTGGTTTCTTTTACTATGTGGATCTGAGATGGAGATGATGGATCTTGCTCTTGGTGTTGGCTTCTGTGTGAGCTGGAATGTGCTCAAACAGCGTTGTCTCTGGAAGGGAATGGCCCAAAGTGCTCTTTGCTGGGGTCAGGAGAGAGTTTCTTCAGCCTTGCAGCAGGTGGTTCAGCCTCACCCGTGGTTCTTGGGGTTCCCTTGGCTGCTCTGGGCTCTGCCCCCCAAAACCAACCCGGGTTTGGTGTGTTGGGAAGGGAGCAGCCTGTGTGCAGGGAGCGGGGGCTGAGGCACAAGAGGCCCCAGGTCTGGCTGTTCCAGACAAGCTCCTTTTCTTCATCATCTGCTCCATCAATTAGTGGTTGGGGCGGGGGGGCCTGGGGGGGCGGGGGCGGCAGAGCTGGCCCTGCCTGTGGGGCTGGGGTCACCTGGAAGGACACTGGGCAGCATCAGCTGTGACAAATGCTTGGAGAGGCCTCCTGGGCGCTGGAAAGGTGGGGATGGTTCAGGCTGCCTTCTCCTTGACTGCTGGGAAGTGACAGCACGAAGTCCTGCATGTTGGGGCAGGTGGAGGGTCAGCCAGAAACCCTGGAGCTCTGAGTGAGGGGCAGTGGTGGCTCCATCTGTGAGTGAGGGGCTGTGGTGGCTCCATCTGTGAGCAGTGAGGGGCAGTGGTGGCTCCATCTGTGAGCAGTGAGGGGCTGTGGTGGCTCC